ACAGGCACTACGGTCGGCCTTTCGCCAGCCGTTCGGCTACTTTTTCCGGCAACCCTCATGTGATTGATTACAATTTGACTTTAACTTGACTAAATATGCATGAATTGTTCGGGACTTGCCGGTTAGATTTTGAAATCACTCGGAGGGGCTTATATAGCATCTCCGAGGCCGTTTTTGCACAAAACTTCGACCGAATGACATGATATCGATATGATCTTGATAACATGAACTTAAATACATAAAAAGAGGGTAAATAAGTGTATACCCTTCAGTTCGGACGAGAATTATACGGTGATTTGCGTGCGTGTTCGGTGCTCGATTGGGTGTGCACTCGCCTCTCCTTTGCTTCAGCTATCCTTAGCTATTTTTGTACGATTTTTCTCCAATGTTTCCTTACTATTTTCTCTCAGATTTTTGGCTGATATTGGTCTCATTTTTGCATGGGAAAATGCATGGAAATAACGCACACGTTCGGTTATTTATGGAGGGTAAAACCGTGGGAAGAATTTGAGTCAAAGGAGGTGAAAGATAACAATTTCTCCCTTGATGACATGTGTCCCGTACGTGTGCTGAGGTGGGGCGTGTTTGGCTTAGTCATCGGTCGATGTGGCGTTCATGCACGGGCTTAGTCATCGCCCGTGGCCTCGTGTAGTGCCATGTGTGCCAAGCTACTAGGTGACTAAGCACACAAGTTGTAATATTTTTATTACTTGGGATAAATATCCCCACGGCAATGACCAAGGAAAATGACTTGGGGTTGCTTAGCCTTGATCATAATATTTAGCTTAATATAAGCTAATGATGGCGGTGGCTTAGTGGTGTGCGTGCATTATGCGCACGGCAATGCACGGCGTGCGTGCGTGCTATAGCTTTTACTTCCGAGACTTAGACATGATCTTGATTTCGAAATTAAATTCGAACATTCTTAACCTTTAATAATTAATCCCGATTAATAATGTCCGTTTATAAAATAAACGGTTCAGAAATTAATTATCAACTTGACTCGGTTAATAACTAACCGAATAGACTTTTCGACTTAATATCGAACTTATTAACTTAAACGCTGAAAATGAACGAGATTAATAAAAGAAAATACATCACTTTCATTAATAAGAAACTGGGTTATTACAATCTACCCTCCTTAAATATTTCTGTCCTAAGAAATATCAAACTAAACATATACATATAGGATACATGAAAAATATATATATCAAAATTCAAAGTCAGGAAAACGAGCGCGAATATCAGCCTCTTGCTCCCAAGTGGATCTGTGGCGATCCCACTGAATACGAACGAGGGGAACATCACGCTTCCGGAGCCGTCGAACCTGTCGGTCCAACACAGCTACCGGTCGCTCCTCGTAAGATAAATCTGGATGGATCTGAATATCAGTATGAGGAATGATCGGGGTCGCACACGTACTTGCGTAACATGGATACATGAAAAACATTGTGAACATTGGACAACTCGGGAGGTAAAGCTAATCGATACGCAACATCGCCCACTCGCTCGAGTACTTCGAACGGGCCAATGAATCGAGGGTGTAACTTCCCTCTCTTCCCGAATCGAATGACTCCACGAAATGGACTAACTCTGAGAAAAGCTCGCTCGCCAACCTCGAATTGGATATCTCGTCGATGATGATCCGCGGTTGATTTCATTCTACTCTGAGCTGTCTTAAGTCTTTTCTGGATCAACTCGACCTGTTCTGCCGTCTCCTCGATCAATTTCGAACCGAGTACTCGACGTTCACCGACATCGTCCCAATAAAGAGGGGAACGACATTTACGACCGTATAGTGCCTCATAAGGAGCCATCTGAATTAGGGGTGGTATCGGTTCGGTAACCGAACCGATAACCAAAAACCGATACCGAACCGATAAGGATTCGGTATCAAAAATCCATACCGAAACCGAACCGATAAGGATTTGGTAACCGAAAATTCGGTTAC